CTTTTCCCCGCAAAATACAGAATGTTGTCTGATCTAAAATGAGGAGAAGTAAAAAATCTTTTCTCATTCTCTACTAATAGTGAAGGGCATGCGAAAAGTAGGATTTACCGCAATTTTGTCAGTTACCTGCTGGCAAATCTATCCGAGACTCACTACGTGCTTGTCAGTAGAGCAGAATTTCTGGAATTCAGAAACACTAAAATGCTTAAAATTAAAATAATTTTAAATTCTTGACATTCTGCTCCGCCATTTTGCCACCAAAACGAATTCTAGGAAGACTAATTTTTCTACTAGTGAATTACGTTTATTTATTGCGCAAAAAAGTATGATTCTGTTTTTTTTGGGGCGGGGGGACGAGGATGCGGAGAGGGGGCGGAGGAATAATTTCTTTTTAGTTTACGGATAATAGTTTCTTTGTTAAAAAACTGTGACTGTGTAGATGATTTTATTTCGAATTAGGAAATTTTGTGGAATTGGACATTAGGCCATGCATCATAGCTTGCTTGGATTGCCCTTTTTAAAGTTTTTGGCGTCAAATTACTATTTAGCATTTCAGTTTTGTGTAAACGATGAAATCTACGTAACGGAAAGATTAAATAAAGACTGGTTGCGTGGGACGATTGGCTTGCGACAAGGTATTTTTCCGGTGAATTACGTTCAAGAAATAACATCCCCCAGGACTGAGATTTCCTCGTCGCTGACAGAAAATAAAAATCCCACGCCGAAGTTCGTTACAGCTGCATATGACTATAACAGTGTTGTCGATGGAGACTTGATATTCAAAGCAGGTGATTTTTGTTCGTCTTTTTTATTATTTTTATTAACTGAATAGCCCTTATTCGCTCATTTTTCTTTTTTTTTTTTGAAATCATGCATAGGAAGGTGAAAAAAAGTTAATCCTAGTTTTCTGGGGAAAGAGGCAAGAGCTTTTTACCTGGCTTTGCAAATTTCCCGTGGAAAAATTGAGCTTTTGAAAAAATTGAATCTGAAAGATTCGTTTTTTTGAGGCATTTCATTGATTGAGTTTTGGCTGTTTTTGTAAATTCAACTTATTTTTGTCTAATTCGCTATAAAATTTTATTGCAAACAGTTGGTGAAAAATGACAAAAATACCCTAGTACATACAGATGTTTTGTTTTTCTTTCGGCCTACGGCAAAGTTGTTGACGGACAACGAAAATTTTCATTGACATATCGAAAATGCCAGATTGGATTTTCGCTTATTTTTAGAATGCATGGAAATGTAGAGTTTTTTCTTAAAATGAGGAATTTCAGCTTAAGGTGCAAACTGATTAAAAGTGCGCCAAAGGCAGCTAAAAAATGTTAAAGGAAAATTGAGTGCTAAAGCCCTATCGATCTTCGCTGTATTCTGGGATGCCAGTTCATTGCATATATGTGTGTGTGTATGTGTGTGTGTGTGTGTGTGTATGTCTGTGTGTGTGTCTGTGTGTGTAGTTAATTAAAAGAAAATTGATTAGGATACGGTAATACAGTAGTTAAGCAAATTGTAGCAACCAGGTTGACTCAGGAAAGCCAAAAATGGCGAAGGCGCAGTAGATTAGCAGATAAGAGAAGGAGATAAAAGTGAGATAATGACCTTTCGGTTCATTAAGTCATATACGCCTTAACTCAACAGATAAAATACACTGCTATAGTGCCTGTGTAGGATCATGAAGCTTACAGGTGATCGAATTGAACTACTGGAATGGGTGAATGGCGATTGGTTAAAGGGAAGATTGCATGAAATGACTGGTTTAGTACCACGCACTTACATACTCACTGAAGACAGCAGCACTGCACAAAACCAGATTTATGGTACTGGCGCGGTTGGCACTACCGTAACCGCAACAAGAGATTATTATAAT